TGCAAAAGCTGGATAGTGAATAAAGATGATCATAGAAGAAGTGATGCTTTTGAGTTATGATGTTGGAGGAAAATATTGAAAGTGCCATGGGCTGCCAAAAGAACCAATAAATCTGTGCTGGAAGAAGTGCAGCCAGAGTGCTCCTTGGAGGCCAGGATGACCAAACTTCGTCTCTCATACTTCGAACAAATTGTCAGGAGGGACCAGTCACCAGAGAAGGATATCATATCATGTTTGGTAGGGTGGAGGGTCAGAGAAAAAGAGGAAGACCCCCAGTGAGATGGATTGACAAAGGGGCAGCATCAATGGGCTCAAGCATGGCAACAATAGTGAGGTTGGCCCAGGATCAGGCAGTGTTTCTTCTGCTGTGCATAAGGTCACTATGAGTCGGTACAGACTGGATGGCACCTTAACAACAACAACACAGGGAAGACCAGTTAATATCTCTGTTATTCAAATTTATTTACCAACCACTAAAGCCAGTGATGATGAAACTGAAGAATTCTACCAACTTTTTCAATTTAAAATCGATCAAACATGCAATCAAGATGTATTAATAATTTCTGGGGACTGGAATGCAAAGGCTGGAAATGAGGAAGCATCAGTAAGTAGTTGGAAAATATGGCCTTGGTAATAGAAATGATGCTGGAGATCACGTGATAGACTTTTGAAAGACAATGACTTCTTCATTGCAAATACCTTTTTTAAAAACAAAAAAGATAACTATACACATGGACCTCACCAGATAGAACACACAGAAATCAAATTGACTACATCTGTGAAAAGAGCTTTTTCCACTGAGAAAAGCTCCATATGATCAACCAAAACAAGGCCAAGGACAGTCTGTGGAACAGACCATCAATTGTTCATATACACGTTCAGGCTGAAGCTGAAAAAAAGAGTTCAGAAGAGACTAAATATGAACTTGAACACATCCCACCTGAATTCAGAGACTATCTCAAGAACAGATTCAATGCATTAAACATTAACAACCAAAGAAGAGATGTGGGATGACATCAAGAACATCATATAAGAAAAAAGCAAAAGGTCATTAAGAAGATAAGAAAGAAGTTGTTGTAATGTGCCGTGGAGTCGTTCCCGAGTCATAGCAACCCTGTACATCTTTACGGGAGCAGAAAGCCTCATCTTTTCCCATGAACAGCTGGTAGTTTCGAACTGCTGACTCTGAGGTTCGCAGCCTGATTAGTAAAGGCCAAAATGGATGTCAGAAGAGACTCTGAAATTTGCTCTCCAGCATAGAGATGCTAAAAGCAAATGGAAGCAGTGAGGATGTTATGAGAGCTGTACAGAAAATTTCAAAGGTCACCTTGAGAAGACAAAGTCAAATATTATAAAGAAATACGAAAGGACCTGGAGTTACAATCCATAAAGGAAGAACATGCTTAGCATTTTGCATGATTAGGGAACTGAAGAAAATGTTCAAGCCTCGACATGCAATATTGAAGGATTCTATGGGAAGTCAGGATGACCAAACTTTGTCACTCATACTTTGGTCATATTGTCAGGAGGGACCAGTCACTGGAGAAGGATATCATGTTTGGTAAGCTGGAGAGGCAGAGTAAAAGAGGGAGACCCCCAGCGAGATGGACTGGCAATATGGCAGCATCAATGGGCTCAAGTGTGGCAACCACTGTGAAGATGGCCCAGGACTGGGCAGTATTTCATTCTGCTGTGCATAAGGTTGCTATGAGTCGGTATCGACTTGATGGCACCTAACAACAATGGGCAAATTGTTGAATGATGCAGAAGGCATCATAAGAAGATTGAAGGAATACAGAGCCACTGTACCAAAAAGAATTGGTCTATGTTCAACCATTTCAAAAGGCAGCATATGATTAAGAGCCAATGATATTGAAGGAATAAGTCCAAAGTGCATTAAAGGCATTGGCAAAGAACAATGCACTGGGAATTAATGGAATACGAATTGAAATCTTTCAACAAACTGATGCAGCACTGGAGGCACTCACTCATCTACACCAAGAAATTTGGAAGACAACTAACTGGCCAGCTCACTGGAAGAGATTCATATTTGTGCCCATATCAAAGAGAGGTGGTCCAATAGAATGCGGAAATCATCAGACAATACCAATGATATCCCATGCTAAAAATTTTACTAAAGATAATACAAAAACTGCTGCAAGCATACACTGACAGAGAACTTCCAGAAGTTCAAGTTGATTCAGAAGAGGACATGGAACAAGGGATATCATTGCTGATGTCCAATGGATCTTGGTTGAAAGCAGAGAATACAATATATATTTACCTGTGCTTTACTGACTATGCAAAGGCTTTCAAATGTGTGGATCCTGATAAACTATGAGAATGGTATTCCTGAACACTTAATTGTGCTCATAAGGAACCTGTACATAGACCAAGAGGCAGTTTTTTTTAACAGAACATAGGAACACAGAATGGTTTAAAATTAGGAAAGGTGTGTACCAGGATTGTATTCTTTCACCATACTTAGTCAACCTGTATGCTGAGCAAATAATCTGAGCTAGGATTATATGAGGAACACATGGCATCAGAATTGGAGGAAGTCTCATTAACCAGTGATATGCAGATGATAAAACCTTGCTTGCTACAAGTAAGGAGGGCTTAAGATAATTATTAATGAAGATCAAAGACCATAGCCTTTGGTATGAGTTGCATCTCTATGTAAAGAAAAGAAAAATCCTCACTACTAGACCAATAAGCAGCATCCATATAACTGCAGAAAACAATGAAGTTGTTATAGACTTCATTTTGCTTGATTAACCATTAATATTCATGGAAGCAGCAGTCAAGAAATCAAATGATGTACTGCATTAGGCAAATCTGTCGCACAGGACCTCTTTAAAGTGTTGAAGTGCAAAGATGTCATTTTGAGCACTAAGGTGAGCCTGATCCAATAGATGGTATTTTCAAAAACTTCATATGCATGTGAAAGCTGGACAGTGAATAAGGAAGCATAGAAGAATTGATGTATTTGAGTTATGGTGTTGGAGAATATTGAAAATACCATGGCCTTCCAAAAGAACAACTATATCTGTGTTGGAAGACATACAGCCAGAGTTCTCCTTGGAATCCAGGGTGGCCAAACTTAATCTCTTCTACTTCAGATATGTTATTAAGTGGGACCAGTCGATGGAGAAAAGTATCATGTTTCATAAAGTGGAGGGTTGGAGACAAAGAGGAAGACTGCCAAAGAGATGGACAGGCAAAGTGGCAGCAGCGATGAGGTCATGCATAATAACAATTGTGAGTTGGCCCAGGACCGGGCAGTGTATCGTTCTGTTGTACACAGTGTCGCTATGAGTCTCTACCGACTAAGTGGCACCTAACAACATCCATTCCATTTTTCTATGAACCTTTTGAAATCCCCTTGTATGTGTGTGCATATCTGTGCACAGATGCACTTATTCCTAAGCTTTGAAGGCTGAGATTTGGGACCACAATAGTAGTGAACACACCTAGCATGTAAATCTTGAGTTTTAGAGTAATTTTTCACTAAAAGAAATCAAGCCTGGGGTATGGAAAGTACAAAATAAAAAGGGCACAAGGAACTTTGTTTACGTTAATGGCGGTGAAATAATTTGGAAAAGGACAGCAAGAATGGTTGTACAACCTGAATCATTGTCACTAAATTGTACATATAGAAATTGTTGTCTTAGTGTAAATTAAATTTTGTTATGTATATTTCAACACACACACAACACAATGACACAGTTCAAAGGTGCTCTCACTGACCATATTTCAGACCATTTAAGCATTTGAATAAATAATAACCATGGGTTTTAATCCATTAAACTAAAAAGAAAAGTATGGATCCAGGCTGATATAAAATAACAAATGAAGGGAAAAAGAGTAACTTGACAGTGAAGAAATCTGGCAAGCACCCTGTAAGCAAGTGATCCACACAAGCAGCATTACTTATGGCACGATGGGAATGCCTGAGCCACCTGGTGGGACAAACTGAGAAGGGCAGAGCATCACTTCTATGATGTTCCTGGCCTAAGATGCACAACCTGAACTTAATCACAAGAAAGCATCATCCTACAAAACAACAGACTGTTAATCTACAAAGGTCATTAAAGCCAATGAAAACCTGGGGTACAGTTCTACAATAAAGGTGAGTGACTGAGAGACAAGACAACTGAAGCACTATGTAACGTGAACTGCTGTATATGGGGCCATTTAGCAGAACTGGGATGGAGTCCAAAGGTCACACGGTAGTAAGGTATCAAAGGCAATTTCCTTGTTGTGATGGTTGTACTGTGGTTATATAGAAGAATGCCCTTGTTTATACAGAACACACACTAAAGTACTTGAGGGTGATAGCCTAATCAGGTTGGCAGTCTACTTTCAAATGATTCAGGAAGAAGAAAGATTTTTTGTTTTGACATGTGACTTTTCCATGTTTGAGAATGTTTCAAAATAAAAACGTATTTGAAGGCGCTACATTTAAAACAATTTCTTCTTCACTTTTTTTTTTATCTGTTATATGACTCAAAAAAAGAGTTGGACAAAGAGTTTGAACAAAATTATTTCTTGAAATGTTATGGTAAAAATTGTTATTTTGTAAGTAGGGAATTTAAATTATATTTACTATTAATATTGCTATTGCTGTTAAGGGACATTGAGTTGGTTCCGACTCACAGCAACCCTGTACAGAGTTTCCAAGGAAGAACTGAAGAGTTTGAAGCACCGAACTTGTGGTTCAAACTGATCTTGCAGTTCAGTGCTCATCCTACAGCACCACACCAAGACTGCACTAGTGCTATAATAATTATTATTTAGCAGTGAGTGAATGCACTTTTAAAGGTTGCATAAAGTAAATTATTATAGGTTAAAAGAAAAAAAGCTTGGTTGGGGTAAAGAGTTTTGTAACACCTGCTGTGTCCAAATTAAGATAATATTTAGCAGCATGCAGCATTCAAATTTCTCATAACCAGTTCCCACAAGCAAAGAGCACACACCTTATTGTAAGAAAGTGTCAAAGAGGTCAAATTATAATAAAAGGTTTTATGGCTCACAAAAAAAAATTCACAAATAGAAGTTTCTTCTGTTCACTTCTTAAGAGTTCTTCTAGCCCCTTCCTGACCTTGCAAGATGTGATTTACTAAAAGTTGGTTTACATTTTACTTTTCAGGAATACATGACCTGAAAAGAAGTATCAGGAACAGTGATGTTATGCTATCTGATGTTCTTTTCTTGTACCAATCCCTCTCTTGAATTACTAACCAGAATTCAGTCCAAATGGCACAGAATTGAGCTGTTATGTATCATGCCAAATGCTACTTCCAGTCCAATGCAGCTTCATTTTTCTCCAGTAATGAACAGGTGGACATTCTTCTTGGATTGTAACATCTGAGCCGCCCTCTCCACACCAACCACGGCAGCTAGCCTCTGGGCATCATACTTGGAGTAGAGAACAGTGCACGTCCACGTGGCCTCCTCTCCTCTGTTGGTGGCTTTCAGCATGTTACAGACTTCACTGTAGAAGTGGGGATATGTTGGCAGTTCATAGAAAATCAGGTTGTGAATGCCTTTTATTGTATACCTGTTAGCATGGGAGAGAGGGAGAGAATATGTCCACTTATGAAATGATTTTGTGGGAAAGCTAGTTAAGAGCTCTAAGGAGGCTGAGCTCACTCAGGCTGCTTGATGCTAACAGAAGAAAATGACAGCACCAACAACAGCTAAGCCAAAGGAGCCCTGGTGACACAATGGTTTGGCACTCAGCTGTTAACTGAAATGCTGCTGGTTCAAACCCTACTGGAGGCTCCACAGAAGACCTGACAATTTGCTTCCATATGGATTACAGCCTGGAAAGCTCTATGGGGCAGTACTACTGTGTCATGTGGGGTCATAATGAGTTGAAAATCAACTAGACAGCATCCAGCAACATTCTAACCTAAACTGAAGGTTGATTTTTGTGCTGACTTACTTGCTTTGCTCATGGTGATTTAAGATGATAACTTAGTATTTCTTGAGCTTACTCTTGGTAGCCTGAGTTAGAGTGGTGGTGGTTGTGTGCCGTGGAGTTGGTTCCGACTCCTGTATAGGGTTTCCAAGGCTGTTATGGGAGTAGAAAGTCTCATCTTTCTCCCACAGAACTGCAGGTAGTTTTGAACTGCTGACCTTGAGGTTAGCAGCCCAACTCATGGGAAAATTAATAGACTAAGATTAAAAATTTGTCACAGAAAATTTAAGAAGCTGCCAATTACAGTTTAACATTATCCTTATTATAAAACCAGTCAAATCCATTGCCATCAAATCGCTGACTCAAAGGGCTCCCACAGGACAGAAGAGAACTGCACCAGGGTTTCCAAAGCTATCAGCCTTATAGAAGCAGACTGTCTCATCTTTCTCCCATTGAGTGTCTGGTGGGTTCAAACTGCCAACTTTTAGATTAGCAGCTAAGTGCTTAACCACTGCACCAATGGGGTCCCTTATCCTTATTACAACTAGGCAAAACAGAATGTTCTGTAATGGAGGTGAGACCAGTACATAAAACATAATGCATAAACTGTAAACAGATTCCAGTTAGTCTTTCCTTGTCACTCTGTGGACAGGTTAACTCCATGGCAGATGTCTCAAGTTCATACATTTACAAAATCCTGCCTGAGGACCCAGTAGGCATTAAGGGTAAACAATTCATTTCAACAGTTTCTGCACTTCCACCCTTTCCCTGTTGCAGTAGTGGGGAGAGGGTACAGACCTAAGGGACTCACCATATGATTGGGGCTGGGGCTCCACAACACGAGATTTTATACATCCACACTGTTCTGATTTTCTGTTAGGCTTTCACACACTGCCAATGTTAGACTCCCCTGGGAATTTTATTTTATTCACAGAGGATACGCTTTCCTCATATTTTTATCCAACTGCTTAACCTATCTCTCCAGAGACCGTCCTCTACCAAACTGTAATAAACTACAACCCACCCTTTGACTCACCTTTTAACATCGCTTCACACTAAGAAGGAATTCTAGTAGCTAACTCACTTGAATAAATGGTTGTACTTCACTGCATCAAATCAATAAGCCAAAAAACTCATTAGAAAATCTAATTCTGCTTGGTGTATAGAAAATTGTTAAGTGCTGTCAAGTTGATTCCGACCCACAGTGACTCCGTATAGGGTTTCTGAGGTATGGCTGGTGAGTGTGAACTGCTGACCTAACGGTTCAAACTGACCTCACGGTCCAGTGCATTATACTGCTGTGCCACACCAGGACTCCATGTAGAAAATTAAAGAGATGGTAATTCCCATGTTAACAAGAAAAAGCCAGATGATCTATAAAAGCATTCTTTTTCTTGAGCTCAGAGAGCTGAAGTCACAAGACAAGCCAGTTGAATGAACTCAGTGAGGTGCTGGTGTATGTTTAAGAACCTGTTTGCAGTGGGGATGAGGGGCTGCTGATATGAAGCATTTGCTAATTTCTGTAGTGTAAATACTCCTACCACGGCCTACATCAGGTTAACAATGTGGTGCTGCTAAGCACAGTGTTGGAAAGAGACACTCAATCCCACTGTGAGAACCAATGTGAGCCAGCTTTAGCCTACAGCTGACTGCATTCCAAAAGGCAGCAAGCTCCTCTACAGACAGAAAACACAATTGAATTCACCTTTATTAGAGCGTGTGGAAGGCAGTGGGCAGCTCCCACATGAGGGTAGGAAGGAAACACATGTACGTTTAACAAATTCTTAAAGGGCAAGTATGAGCTGTGTGATAGCTGAGAATCCCTGTGAGCCCTGGGCAGCCTGTAGTTCCCATTCACTCAAGCTCTTTTCCATGGGCCTCCACCAGGAGCTGTGGAGAACGTGGAGGGAAGGTAACAACCTGAGAGAGGCCCTAGCTGGTGCTGCAGAGGAAACTGTTTATCCATCTTTTATAAGAACCAAGAGCCTGAAACCACGGGGAGTAGAGCAGAAACATCCTAACCCCTTCTGTTCCGAGACAAAGGTAAATTGCTGGTGGATACAGAGTAAACAGAAGCAAAAGCCAATACCCCTAAGGGGGGGCAACAAACCTCTCCCCTTCTATGCCATAAGACTTGCACCCGGTCAAAAACAAGAACATTTTGCCCCTGAGCAAGAAGCAATAAACCTTTTCAAACTCTACATGACATCAGCAGAGATCGGCCATCACTGGGTGAGAGACAGGAAGTGCTTTCCTACCAAGATCTCAACAGGTACAAGGCAGAGTTTGGCTGCCAAGGAGTGAGGGACAACAGGAGCAACTCTCACAAAGTCTCACCTTCAAAGTCCAGAACAAACTGGGCCTGCCTAAACTGTTGTGTGCTGTTGAGTCAATTCCAACTCATAGTGACACACTATAGGACAGAGCAGAATTGCCCTATAGGGTTCCTAGGCTGTCATCTTGTTGGGAGTTGATCACCAGGTGTTAACACCCGCAGAACTGCTGGGTGGGTTTGAACCACCAATCTTTCTGTTAAGAGTCAACCGCTGTACCAATAGGCCTCCTTGTGAACCACATACCAGTGGTATTATTGAAGCAGTACCAAGTAGTATAGTAATGATACTGTGGATAGGTTATAGAAAATGTTGTTTTGGGAGGTACATGCAAAAATATTTCAGGGTTAAGTGTCAAGAAGTCTGCCACTAAATTTCAAGTAAAAAAATGTGAGGACAGACAGAGAGAAGAAAACAGAGAAGAGAACGCAAGTATGAGCAAATGCAGCACCACTCACAACTGCTGAATTCTAAGTGAAGGAGATTACAGATGCTCACTACTGCTGTCTCACAATCTTCTTCTGGTGTGAAGTCTTTCTAAATAAAATGCTGAAAAGGATGTGACAGAAGCACACACATCAAACTGAAAACACATCCGTGGTGTACAAATATCTACACCAAAGTACTAACACGTTTGAATTATTTTTCAATGAGGAAATAAAATGTTTTAAGAACAAAGGGAAACTATCTCAATGTGTACAGTGTGATCCAAATTTGGATATTTTAGAAAAAATGCCTGTGTGTGTGAATGTGTGCACATATTTATCATGAAATGAAAACTAAAAAGAAAGACTCCAGAGTAAGCATTTATACCAGGGCAGTGGTGACTCTTTTCTTTTTCTAACCTAGATTTTCTAAATATGCAATAATAATTGTGTAAAAATTTTAGTCAGTAAAAGCAATACACCAATTTCTGCAACGTTTAAAAATAAGAAGATCCCACTCAGTCACTTTTTGTCCACAATGAAGAGTACAAACTCCCTGGCATCAGAAAAGGTGTCCAGGGTTCCTCCAGATGAGGCAGTTAATGCCAGTTAATGCCCTCTGCCCTCTTTCTACTTTCCTCCTCTCTTATACATACTTCTGTTCTTCAAAAACCCTTATAAAAGAGAACAAATAAGATGACAGATCGGGTGAAAGTGTAGTTAAGGAGCTTCGTCAGCAACAACACAGAACACCCGACCAAGCAGCCTCAGGGGATGAACCCAGAACTCTGAACCACATATAAAGGAATATTTAGAAGGCTGGAAGGCTTACTGCTGGGGGAATTAGTGACAGAAGCAAGAAATCCATTGCTTTCTAGTCCAGGACGCTCAGCTGCTCCAGGAGCTGCCATCTTGGGTGAGACCAAGCAGGGGAAGGATTGGAGCAGCCACAGATGCCTGGCAGAACCACGGAGATTAAGGTGTGGACATTCTTTTCTTTTGGTA